CAAAATAAATATAGGGTGTTTATAATGGAAGCTAGTCATTTGATCATTTCAGTTACAACAGTGAGGTAAGAAAGCAAACTGTAGACAAAATCTTTTATGATATTTGGTTATGAGTCACAGGTTGACTCTTTACAGAACAGTTTCACATGTTTGGGTCTATTATCTTTAAATCAAAAGATGACAATCTCAGGCATAGCAGAGACTCAGACCAAAATCCAAAGGTAATCCTATCAAATGTCAAGTTACTGCAGAGAAATGGCTTGAAAAATAGGCCAGCGGTCCATTATTTGATGAACCCCAAGTGAACGCATATGCTCGCGAGTCTGTCGTTAGCTGGGTGTTCTATTAATGTTCTTCCCAATTGTTTTAGAGCATTCATTTAAAAAGAACAGAGGGGCCTTTCCCTTGTTTATGGCTGTTTTGCTATCTGACTACCCATCTCTCTCTGTAATTAAATGCCACGAATAAAATAATAATAAACATAATTTTATTTGTACCATTACTCACTGCAGAAATTACATCTTTACATTTCCTATGAGAATCAAAGAGCAGTCATGCCTGCTTCCTTCACATTTGAGAGAGCTGTGTAGAAGTCACAGGCTTTTCTAGATTCTCTGAGCCTGGGGGGGAATTTTGTGGGTTAGCAACCTTTCAGGCAAATTATTTTGCAGTGTGTACATGTATACCTATCTTCTCTTGACAATCGAGATTTTACCTGGCCCATGTAAACACCTTAGAAGACTAATTCTATAAAACAGACTTGCATAAAAATCACCCACAACTTAAAACTGGGACATCTATCTGTGGGCATAACGCCATACACTCTAAAGAAAGTAAGCTTTAGCACATGCTGCAAAACTCTTCTAATTAGAAACCCCTGCTAGTCTTTTGTCCCGCAGTGCTCAGTGGAAGTTCTAAGAATCCAAAGCTTTACCCAAATGTACCTTGCCCCAAGCATCCTGATCTCACTCCCTGGTAACAGGAAGTTCCAGAATGACATCCTCATGGAATGGTTTTATTTTTCTCTTGCATTATCTCTCGTCTGTTGTGATTTTCTTCAGCCAAAGTCTCCCTGACATGACCTACCAAAAAAGAAAACATGTTGAATAACTGCACCATAAACACACAAAATGGAAATGCTGAACTAGCTTCATTAAAATAAATCATTCTTAGTACTGTAACCTTTTTTGTTTTAATTTCACACTTTCTATCATCCTAGTGGTTTGCTAGTTCTAATAATGTTTCTGGAGTCTGTGCTACATATATGAAGACATTCAGGAGTTTTTAATGAACACCAAAATTATTAACTTTCTTGCCTTACGTATTTGCAAGAAGGGGATGTATGAACAAAATAACTTATATCCAAGCATGCAGCTGAAATATTGGAACTTGAAAACTGCCCTGCCATTAACAGTTAATAGTTCAGTGCTCTGGGGTAACAGCAGTTGCTCTGCACTTCTCGGAAAAACATTTGGGTAAAAATACTTTGGACTAATAAAATTAATGTTAGAGTGACAACAAATTTCAACATCTGTGAAGCTTTTGGGGAACTTTCAACATTTAAAAGTAGTATATGCAATTTTATAATTTTTAGGCAATGTACCTATTTATAAATGCAATTTTTAACATCAAAGGGAAAATTGCTTTATCTAAAATGTATACTCAATATTCAAAGCATTACCACAAGATAAGCAATTTTGGACAAAGATTCTTAAAATAAACCTACTAACTGAGCAGTAAATATTTGTTCAATTGGACATTCTAAATGTTGAAATGTGTTAGTCATTTTGGTTAAACTAATACAGTACAATGAGATTGCTTTCACTTTTCCAGCAGCCTTCTTAAGTCATGTTAGTGTTTAAAAACTAGTCCTGGGCTCCAGAAAACACTGTTAGGGAAGGAAAAACAGACTCTTTGGCTAGAGTTATGGAAGGAGGGGTGGAACCTTATGAGTTACATGACTACATAAGATGTAGGCAATTTTATTTTGGCAACAAATTCAGGCTTTTGCATTGGGTTTTTTTTTTTTTTTTGGACTGTTAATTCAAATACACATGCACGAATCTCCTATGAAAGGAAAGATTCTTACTCATCTGCAGAGCATAGATAACGATTAATTGTTCCATTTCATCTTTCAGGCTACAGTACCATGAGTTTAGGAACTCTACAAGCTGTGAAATTATCTACCCCAGGGTAGGTGACTAGGATCACAATGTAATTGCTCAAAAAATGGACTCAGATCATATCCCAAATCTACATGAAGAGAGGTATATGCTTGATAAATAGTAAAGATGATGTCAAAGATCAGCTTTCTCCCTTTGGTGGAGTTGTCTTCACAATATTATACATATTGTATACATTGTATTCACAATATTATATTCACAATACACAATATTCACAATATTACACATAAAGCACCTAGAACATAGAATCTTATGGGGTGATCATTTCTCAGGTGAAATAGCGCACTGGACTGTCCAACTATTTCATTGGCTAGATGTTTATTTGGAAACTCAAAACAAAAATGCAGAATGACTGGTGACATTTATGATATTTGCCACTGGGCTAGTGGACCTTCCTTCACGATAAAATAGGATCTCAGTCTCTAATCTGCATGTCCAGACCAAAGACAATTTGATGTAACTCCATTATAGCATATTTTAAACTTTTCTTGAAGTTCAGGAATATATCTTTCAGAATCCGTCAGTACTTCAGAAGCGTGGCTCGCCAAACCAATCAATCTAGTACAAAGTTTGTTTTTAGAATTCAAGTTCCTTGTTACTGCTTTGCAAGCAGATGTCTTCAAAGATATAATATGGTGAAGAGATTATGTGATTTTTGGGTGTAGCAATTCTGCCAGTTATAATTAAAAGGGCCAACATCCAAGTTTTGTTTTCTTTATAAACACTGCAGAGTGTGTCAGTGGCCAATCTAAAATTACCCACAGAGGAGTGTGTGCTCTCTTCTTTAGCACAAGATAATGAAGATGGTGTGTGAACGCACTATGGTTATAATAAGCTGATGGACTTGCGGTCCTACGCACAAACTTGTCCAAATGTAATTATAAGAGTTTTGAGAGAATTGTTGCTTCCTAAACTGACTAGTCAAGTGACTCAAAAGTTAATATCACCAAATTAACAGTCTGACTTTGAAGGTCTACAATTGTACCTTAGAAAATAAATACTTGCAATCAGTCATTCTTTCATACAGGGAAAAAGATATCTTTGAGAAGCGTCTCAATGCAGGGTAGTCTATTCAGCATTCTCTCTATGTATTGCTTCTGGAGAGGTGAATTGAGTCTAAAAATAAAAAGTAACAAAGAGCTGAGCGTCCAGCTCTTTCTCTCGTGTGTGGAGGAGAGAAGGCCAGTCTGAACCTGAACTGGTGCTGATGTGGTTGAGAGGGTGCATTTGTCAGGCCCTGCAGCCTGGATCACAAGGGGAAGAAATACAGTTGGGGCCCACAGAAGGACAAGGAACATCTCAAGGTGATTACTAAATCATAAGCATCCTTAGCAGTGGTTCTCATATACAGAGAGAAAGAAAACAAGTCTATATAAAAGATTCAAGATATCAACATCTCATTCTCTCGGGAACTGGAAAACAATCTGAGACAGAGGGACATGGGTGTCAGAAATCTGGGTAGATCAGAGAGGGAAGCAAAGCAGGTCTTTCTCCATTGCGTTTTGGGCACAGTCTTTTCATAAATTTTGTGGACAAACTGTGATGTCTCCTTATCTTCCAAGTAATGAGCATCAAGGCATCCCAGTGTCTTTTGTGAGGAGTCCTCTTACTTGGTTGTAGGTTGCCACAGGGGATTGGATGTTAGAGCAACTGATGACAAAAATCTCACTCAAACCAGCCTCATAGTTCACTGCAATTTCATTTGCTTTAGATGTTCACACTGGCCTAAGACCAATGTCTCCTGTCTCAAACTTGCCATATTGAACTACTGATCTATAATGGTTAAAAAAAAAAAAAAAGACATAAAGGTGAAAGTAACTATAGTTTACCAAAACATCAATCATCCAATCCCAAAAACGTTTCCTTTGCTGAACTGTTTTTATATTTCCTTTTTTCCTGAGCTATCTCTCTCTCTCTCTTTTTGTTTTTTTGTTTTTTTGAGACAGTGTCTCACTCTGTCACCCAGGCTGGAGTGCAGTGGCACGATCTTGGCTCAGTGAAAGCTCTGCCTTCTGGGCTCAGGTGATTCTCCCACCTAAGCCTCTCAAGTAGCTGGGAGTATAGGTACACACCACCAGGCTTGGCCAATTTTTTTGCATTTTTTTGTAGCGACAGGCTTTCACCATGTTACTTAGGCTAGTCTCAAACTCCTGGACTCATCAAATGATCCACCCATCTTGTCATCCCAAAGTTCTGGTATTATAGGCATGAGCCACCACACCCAGCCAGGTACAGGTATCTTGACAGGTGATTCTCATATTACCACATGCTCTCTTCGTATAAATGTAGGTACATGTTCATGTCCAATCCATTCCCCTAAATGCAGCCAGAGCAGTGTTTTTCAAAGGGCAAAGGGCAAATGTCATTCTTTAGTGTCTAAGTGAAGAGTAAAATACTTCCTCTAACCTGCACTCTTATCTAGGCTCACCTGACACATTTCCCTTCGTTCTCCCTGCTCCACCCACTTTGACCCTCTTTCATTTTGTCTCCTGCTATCTGACTTTCATGTGGTAACCACACATCTGCCCCTCTCAGCATGGAATCCTTCCTCATGGATGCCTCCCTAATGAAGTCAAATATTTCTATTTTTTGACATAGAAATATTGTCAAATATTTCTGTGACATACAGGATCATCATGATCCTGTATGTCATAGAAAGGAGCGTGGTTATAATTTTACGTTTATATGTGTATCCATTGGTCAGCATCTACTTCCTGGACTAAAGCTCTGTGGACTATAACCACGCCTTCTTGGCTCCTTATGGTATCCCCCAAACTTATCCAATGCTTGGCAAATAACACTCAAAAATATTTCAGAGTGCCCAGTTCACAGCACATATACTAAAATTGGAACAATACAGAGATTAGCATGGCCTCTGCACAAGGATGACACGCAAATGTGTGGAATATTCTATATTTTTCTGTCACATGTTCTCACTCAAATGTAGGAGCTAAAAAAAATTGACCTTACGGAAATAGACAGTAGAATGATCATTACCAGAGGCCAGAGAGGGTACTGAGGAGGTGGTGGGGATAAAGAGGGGTTAGTCAGTGGATCCACACTTGAGTTAGATAAAAGGAATAACATCTAATGTTCAGTAACACAATAGAGCAAGTACAATTAAAAATAATTTATTGTATATTTTAAAATAACTATAGAAGTAGAATTGGAATGTTCCTAATACAAAGAAATAATAAATGTTTGAGGTGGTGGATATTCTAATTACCCTAATTTGATCATTACCCACTCTCTACTTGTATCAAATTATTACCCCATAAATATGTACAACTACTATGTATTTGTTAAGATTAAAATTTAAGATATTAAAATTTAAAAAAAATTTCTGAGATAAGGGAATAAATGTCCAGATTCATTTCAATTAAGTTGTCATATGTTACAAAGGCCATATTTCTATATTATATACTATATAATATCTGGTGGAACTCCTAAGGAATATAGTTGGGGACTTCTCTAACTATTACACTATCATTACTAATCAGGTTAAGTAACCCTAGTTGTTGAAACACACAGTCCCAGCATTTCAGCAGATTAACATAACAGAGGGTGATGTTTCACCCTTGGCACAGTCAAATTTGGTTTGAGAGTGTGGGGTCGCTCGCTGCACAGAGTCATACATGGACCCAGGCTCCTTACTTCTACTGTTCAGACCTCCCTTAAGTCTCAGAATCCTCCCTAGATTCTTGAGATCTATCATCCAACAAGCAAAGAAAGAGAAGAGTGAGGCCTAGAAGTGGCTATATCACTTCTGTCCACATTCTATTGGCCAAAACATCATCCTACGATCCCATCTGGTTACAAGGTAGGTTGGGAAATGTGGCCTTCCTAGTGCTACCCATCATTTTTGTTTTGCTCCAATTAGGTGAGATGACTAAAATTGGCCAGCAGTTACTAGATACTCCAAAAACTATATTATCAGCAAGGAAAGGAGAACAGTACTCAAAACCAAACTCTCAAGTAAGGAAAGTGCCAACATTAAATGGACTGATTTAGTGGTATTGTGTCTGTCTAGGAATGTGCTACATGGTTTGGTAAATACAGTTTTCCTACTGCAGAGAATCTCAAAACAAGTACATTTTAAAAATGAACTTTGAAGAATCAGCTGGAGGGTATACAGATTTTCATATTCACTTTAGGATTTTTCATTTTCATATTGTACTAGTTAATGTGCCAAAATGAAAATAGCTTTCCACAAAATGGAAGTTACACTATAAAGTTGGAATTGGTATTATCTTCTGCTGAATTGCAATGGAATCTCAAAAGGAGTGATGTAACTATGGAAGCAGGATCTTCTCCTTGAATGTTTCACTAAGATTCTGTCAAACAGATCAGGAAAATGGAATATATGCAAGATTGACTCCTCAATCAACAAGCACAAAAAGGCCCTGGTAGATAAATCAGTTGAAAGAGAACATATACAATGACTGACTGGCAGTATTGTAAGACACCATTTGAGGCTTGACATTGAAGATATTCTTGAAGAATAATTTATCTGAGAAAAGATCAACTTGCTCTATAGAACTGCCAAATTTAGAGTTATTCTACTTAATTCATCAACATCAACCTTAATATTTGGGAAAGTTTTTCTCTTTTAATTTAAGTTATTCCTTCAAGAAAATATGTAGCATGGACCTATTTTTGCTCTTTGATGTACAAAGCAGACATTAAATTGGATTTCAGATTCAGTGACAGAGGCGGACTAAGATTAAACACCAAGGTCGTCTATGCAATTGATTGAATCATTTGTTTAATCATGGCACGCCTTGCCATAGAGAAGTGCTTACCAACTTTATGCTCTTATCTTTACTAGTCAGCAATTCATTGAACACCTTTTATTATCATTGCTTTCTTCTATTTTCAGGGGAGGAGAGGGCAGTAGGTAGCATCGTTCCTGGTCACCATTTTCATCTGTCTCTCTCATTCTCTTTTTACCTTACTTCTTAGATGACAGAAGGTGACATCTCAGTTAACTCCCACATTTCATTGACTCTAAGATACTGTAAATTGTAAGGCACACCATTTTTTTACTTACCACGTAGAAAGAAAAACATGGCTGCTTAAACTACAATGTAATGCTTTCTTATCACCTAGAATTTTTATTCTATACTTACCAAAATAACAGTTTTAAACTTAGACACATATTTGTATCATATTTCACACTTGTGAAAACACACAAAAATAAGTAAAATAAATTGGTTAAAATATTCCTAAAATTTCTGCATATTTACAATTTAACCCTTCCACGTTCATTCTTTACACAGTTGTTGATATTTGTGTTTTTCAATATTTTCTTAAGTTCTGCACTAGTTGAATATTAGCATCCTTAAATTATTATCTCCAAGACTTTCTTCCAAACTGCTGACACTCCCTGCTGCAGTGAGCTTTCCTGAACAAGCACAGGTGATAACTCTGTCACAACCAATGCCTGGTCATCAGCAATGTTAAGATGCTTTAAAAAAAAAAAAGTCCATCAAGAATTTGTTAAATACAATCTATGGCTTAAGGTGCATCTGAAAATATAACCCAACAGCTTATCTCAGTTCCCTAATTGGTCTGGTGTTTTCTGAATATAAAATATAACTACCATTACATGCCTTTTATGTTAATATAGATGTTTCCTTGTAAAGGACACTGCTTCCTTCTTGGTATAAACTCTTTGAATTATGATTTCAACAAGTGTTTTATTCACCATCTTAACTGTAATTCACAAATCATTTTTGTGGAAACAACAAACTTGCCATGAAATTCATGTAGGTAACATATTTTAAAATCTTTATGTTTCTATTTTTACTCCAACTTTGCAAGTTCAAATGTTAACTTCATCTAGCCACTCAAAGACGATGGCAGTTCAACATAGGCATTCCTCAGGTAATGTGCTATTGCATTCCTGAAGAACTGTGATTAAATCAAACATTCATAAATAGAATCATGTTTTCCTACTGTCTTAGATTTTTATATCAGAGCTGGCTTTTCTCAGCTTCTGCTAGATCTTAAACATTCTATCCTTTCTCAAAACTGGCCTTTACCTTGATCTCCTTTTCTCCTGCCCACATCTCTCTTTAAGATAAAGTTAAGCAAACTTGAGCTTAATTTACTTGGGAGTGCTCAATGTTTGAAATAAGCTCCCCACAAATACTTTTGTGATGTCTTAAAATTCATGTGTCTTGTGATTAATAAACCCAATGACTTAGATTTGTTTTATTTTACAGTCTGGCTTACACTGGGGACATTTTGGTTTCCATTTATGGGGTAACACCCCTAAACATGTTCTGCTGAACATCGTAACCCATCCTAACAACTTTGCCATAAAAGCAAAGAATTTTTTATCAACTCCATTATTTTTTATTTGTGGTTTAATTGTTTTTTCCTCTGTGTTTGTTTTAAAATGCGTTTTCCATGGTAGTAACTATGCAAGCCTTAGAAATGCAACTAGACAGATGTACTGACCACGGTTACCAAGGGAGCAGTTTCCTTGGCAATGGCCAACAGTCATCAAAGCAGTTCACGTTCTCTTTCCTTCCCTTGTGACTTGCTCTCACATGTTGCAAAACTTGGGTAGTAGAAACAGCTCTTTGTAAATCATGAGCCTCTATCTACTCAAAACACCACCAATTTTCATGAAGCCAGCAATTGAGAGAGGGTGGTAAATTGTTTGTGATGTTCTTTGAGAAGTTTTAAAAGGGCCCCAAGCCACAATTCACCGTGAAGGATTTCTGGTCTCTCTTTCAATTTTGAGCCAGAATTTATCCCAGTCATTTGAAGATGATCCAAAAATGTATCAGCCAATGCCCAAAGGTCAAAGCTGCAAGAGATCCAATAACAAGGGAGAGCTCTTTTATAGAGTAAATATTTTCTAGTGGTTCAAGAGAGAGGTATAAAAAATCAGGTATTTTCTCAACCGTGACTTGCAGTCAAACTACTGTCTATATTTCTACAAGTCATGAATGAGAATATTAATACTTATTTGTAGAGTTCCTTTTGATCCTCCTAGTGAAGTCTATGATTAAGACTGATTTTTTTTCATCTTAAGAAAAGTTAGAAAAAAATTAATTACAACCCCACACCATGAAAAATCTAAAGTGACATGCAAAAACTACAATGAACTATTCTTTTCCCAAATAGGGTATACAATATAGTTGGCATGTGAGGATTTGCTGAAAGTGAGGCCTATGTGTTAAATGTCTTATGTGGCTGGGCACAGTGGTTCATGCCTGTAATCCCAGCACTTTGGGAGGCCAAGATGGGCAGATCACGTGAAGTCAGAAGTTGGAGACCAGCCTGGCCAACATGGTCTCCATGTGAAACCCCACCTCTACTAAAAATATGAAAATTAGCCAGGAGTGTGATGGGTGCCTGTAATTCCAGCTACTCGGGAGGCTGAGGCAGGAGAACTGCTGGAACCTGGGAGGCAGAGATTGCAGTGAACCAAGGTCACGGCACCACACTCCTGCCTGGGCGGCAGAGAGACTCTGTCTGGAAGGAAGGAAGGAAGGAAGGAAGGAAGGAAGGAAGGAAAAAAAAAAAAAAAAAAAAAAAAAAAAAAAAAAGAAGGAGAAGGAAGGAAGGAAGGAAGGAAGGAAGGAAGGAAGGTCGGTCTTATGTGCACTATGTCATTTTCTCCTCACAATAAATCTGGCTGGCTACTTCTACTATTCCCATTTTATACACAAAAAACTGAGACTTGGGGAAAGATAATTGTTTGTCAAATTTCTACAACTAGGAATTAGTGTAAGGATTTGAACTCCAGGCCAGCTGACCACAGATTTCATATCCAACCCCACTACCCAAAATGTCTCCCTCTTTATGTGTGCAAACTTTCTTATGTGTCAAATTAACACATATTGATCGCTGTCCTTTTTTCCTATTCTACCTCCTGCATATATTAGCATGATTGCACCATGT